CATGAGTGGTACAGGTGTGTTCTTGTAGGCATTGTCCCTCTTGCAAGACCCTCCATCTCTATCTGCCAAATCAGCCCCTATCTACCTCCTCTCTCATTCCCCACTCTGGAGTGTTAACCCTAACTACCATTAGGAGGAACAGGGAGATAACTGCTCTGGCTTTTTCAGCCTGTGAGAGGGTGTAGTTCCAGAAAGGCAGAGGGATTCTCATAAGGTCCTAATTCTAGTCTTTGGTAAGCCCTCCAGTATGCACATTTGAAAGTGCTTATTCCTCCATTCTCCCGTATTATCATTAGGATCCTATTTAGGGTCCTTCAATGATATTGCTGTCTTTCCAACTGGTTAAGGCCTTCTCCTGTCTCTGATATTATATGAGTATGAAGCTCATATTCAAATTTCTTTACTGCTTGCAAGGCTGCCTGTTTCTCAGCAGTCATCAGAGTTTGATTTAAGAGTAGCATATCGTTCTTTTAGAACAGTTTAAATACCTGGGTTAAATTCTGGAAGGCCTCTATAAATGAGTGATGTTGGGACTTGCCCAGAGTGAACATTAGAGTCTGAGGGTAAAAGGAGTCCCAATGATCCAGGTTGCTATTAAGGGGAGTGCAGGTTGAAGATGGATTGCTACACATATGGAAAGAGAGGGGAGAAAAGGCATTCCTTAGTCTGTCTTCCACTTTTAGGGTGAACTTGGAGTGGGACAGAGAGAGAAAAGGCATCTCCTTTCTCCTCTCCTCCTCCTTGTATCCTCTGGGTTCCAGCAACCTATATAGGCGTCACCTGTGGATGCAAGTGTGACCTCCAACAACAGACCATGAGGGCTGGAAGGTAGAAATAGTCACACTTACCTATGCTGCACCCTAGCTCTCCAGTGTTGACTACCTTTGGGGTCCATCAGATCTATTTCTTCTTTTGGGCTTCAGACCCAAAGCTTCCCACTTGAAACTTGGAAAATACATTGAAGTAATTGAATTGGGGCAAGAAACATTACTGGAGGTGGGTGTCCTTAAATCTTTAAGGAGCATCCGTTGACTGATAGGTAATGGACAGAGGCAGATCATAGCATTCAAGGAAATGAAAGTGACCGACCTCCAAAACTAGTCCCTTCTTCCTGCCCAGGGGTTGTTATTCTTGGAGTAAGAATAGGTGTCTTTGAAAATGTAGGGGTTGGCTTGGCTAATTCTGTGTGCTAGTAGCCAGGGAATTAGGGCTCCCCTGGATCC